GTGTCATTGGAATTCCAGAACAGGAAGAGAAAAACAAAACCACTGAGAAAATTGTCCAAGATTTGTTGGAGGAGAACTTCCATGAAATGATGAAAGATGAGAATATCTCCATCCAGGATGTCCAATGAACCCCAAACAGGATAGACCCCAAAAGAAAATCACCAAGACACGTCATCATCAAACTCATCAAAACCTATATGACCATGAGACCAGAACTAGATGATGGCCAGCTACCACTGTCAACCACTCAGAAAGGGATCAGTGGAGGAGATCCTGGATAGAATGGGAGAATAATGTGGAACAAAACTCAAAATCATAAAAAAGACCAGGTTTGCTGGTCTGATAGAGCCTGGTGAGACCCTCTGAGACTGTGGTCTCTAGTTTCCCTTCGGTCTGGAAATGAACTCACTGTGTGGCTTCCAGCCAAACAGACAGGCATATGGGTGAACATATACATCAGGTAGACACACTCACTCCTTGGAACAATCAATCATGGGAGAACAGAAGGGCAGTCAGTATCTCAGATATAGCTCAGGAGGCAGGAATTGCACAAGAAAGGACTACAAAGGGAAGCGATAACTACAGCGAGGAAGTGGAAGAGAGCTGTTGCATAGTGGGGAATTGCAGTCAATATCATGAAAAAAATGTGTATGGGAAATGAATTTCCTCTGTAAACTTTCACCTGAATCACAATAAAAACTAAAGAAAAAAAAAAAAAAGATGTTAAAAGGCAAAAGAAGAAGAAGGAAAAAAAAAAAAAAGGAAAAAGAAGAAAGAAACTGCCAAACTTTTTCTAGCGAAACAGGGCTAAATTTAATCATTCGAATCATATAAAATCTGGGTCATTGCTTAAGACACATGACTATTCAATAAAAACCTAACACATATCCTGCCTTCTCCCCCTCATTTTTACAATCTGTATTTAAACAAGCTGATTTCGTGAAACAGAAATCCAACATAATAAAAATAATTTTTTTTTTTTTTAAATCGAACCATGCGTAAATGCCACTATATTGTAAAGCCCGCATTTGATTATCAAGATAGTTAATACTTTCAACAGTAGCAACGGCTGCAAAACAGAGGTCCTACGTATTAAAGAAGAAAATACTTGGCTGGATCAGAACGCACAAAAAGAAAGCTAATATAAAATGGAGAAACCGATTCTCTAGGAAGAGCATGTATAACTAACTCCCAATGCAGGATTCAGGAAGACGTCGTTTTCCCGTAAAAGAAAAAACCTTAATACCCAGAATGCTACAGCACTGAATCGGAAACATCTGGAAACAGACCGTAGATAGAGGAACTATCTGGGTGAGAGATGACCCACTTCTCAGGAGAAGAAATCACCTAAAGCTTAGAGGTGCACAGAAAACGGAATCCAGTTTTAGGCCAGAAGCAACTCAGGGAACAATTAAATATTTTCTGATAAGGCCGAAATCTTCAGAAAAAAAGAATTTAACGTCATGGAGATTCCTTAGAAACCCACGGACGATAGACATTGAAGATTCCAAGGGGGAGGCCAGCAGGGAGAAAATGAGTCACAAGAAACCTAGAGAATAAAATCATGTGACTCTCGGAAAGCGAATCCTCAAAAAGAGGAAGGAAGGGTCCTGGAAAAAGACCCTCTACTCCGACAACCGGGAAGCACAGACCCAGGCGCCTGAGAATCAAACGAGTAACGGGGGCCAAGGGCCCAAGCTCCGGAGCTTGGGGGGACCCGAGACCTCCAGCCGGTGTTCAACCCACGCACCAACGTGGGATCACCGTTCGGAGGCAGTGTTCCGCGCCAGCACAAGGGAAAACCGGCGGCCGAGTCGAGAGGGAGCCTCGCGGGGCACTTACGCGGACGCTTCTTCCTCAAGCTTTCGACACGCTGCCGGGACACAGACGTGGGGCCACTGTAGGAGCCCGGCCGTTCCCGCCTGGAGCCCTCCGCCGAGGCCCCAGCCGAGGCCCCAGACGCGCTGCTCGCCCGGCGCCGCAGCGGCTCCCGCTGCCGCCCTTCGGGACCCCCGGGCGCCAGCTCCCCAGCCGACGAGGCGGGGGTTGCGGAGGCCCTGCCGTGGCGCTCCATGGGCGCGCCAAGCCGGCCCGCTCCCATCCGCAGCAGCCTGTGCTGCCGCCCGAGCCAGGCCCCCAGCGCCGGATTCCTCGTCGCCTGCTCCCCAGCACCTCAACCCGAGCTGAGGCGCACCCTCGGTCGACCGCCTCTTCCGTTGCGCCAACGACCAACAAACCAATCCGACCAGAGTGGGGTCGGACCGAAGAAGTCGCGTCCAATCGACTCCATGACTCGAGACAGATCGACCGCGCCTCCGCCCAATGGGCAGCTCTCACGGCTGGGCGGGGAGATGGTGCTAGGGAGGGTATCCGGGCTTGGCGGGGGAGGGGAAGGTGCTGTTGGTGAGGGGAGAGTGATGGCGGCACCGCCCAATAGACGCGCGGGTGGAGGGGCCTGCGGCTCCTCTCCCTCTCCCGCCAGACTGGGTGGGTCAACAGGTTGGCGCCCCGGGGCCCCGGAACTCTCCCGGGACGTCCCCGCGCGCCCCTAAGTTCCTCCCCCTTCTCGGTCCCGCGCCTTTCTCCAGCCTAGCGGCGCCCCAGCGTGTGGCTGCCAGTCACTGGCAAATGCACCGCAGTTGACCTTAGCCTTTGTCCCTTGGCCTGGGTCTCAGCGGCCATGTAGGCCGCGGGCCCCTCCGCGCTGTTTCTAAGCTAACACTACCCCGCTACACAGCATCGCCACTGGCGAGTTTGGGCTAAGCCCCCTCCCTACCACCTGCATTGGAAAACTGTTCCGGTACCAGAAGGAATGAAAAGACTGGGGTTGGTCTCCATGGCAACTGGAAGAAAGAGGTGGGTTATAAATCCTTCGCCACCCTCCTGTGGTGAAGGAGGGGGTGTGGAAGCCCGGGAAGCGACGTTGGTTTTTTGAAGGAGAGGCTAGACCCTTTCTGTGTGGTTCGCTGAACCACATAGTATAATTTGGTGACGGCCTTGAAGCCGTGAATTTTTAATCATCTTACTCCTTTCTCTTTGGGAAAGAGGAAATGGACACTTCCAGCCCTGCAAAAGGCCTATCAACCTGAGTTGCCTTCAACCTGAGTCTGCCCAAACCTGGGATGATCCTCCCTGTTCAATACCTCCAAAGCATTCCCTCACTTCGTGGAATTTCACAAGATGATGGGCTTACCTTGCTTCTAATTATTTATTGTTGTTGTTAAGTGCCATGGACTCGTCTCCGACTCATAGCGACCCCAAGCACAGCAGAAGGAAACACTGCCCCATCCTGCACCAGGTTGACAATCCTTGCTATACTGGATCCCATCCCACTGCCACTGTCAATCCATCTCGTTGAGGGCCTTCCCCTCTTTCCTGGACCCTCCACCTTACCAAGCATGGCATCCTTCTCCAGTGAATGGTCCCTTCTGACAACATGACCAAAGTATGTGAGACAAAGTCTGGCCATTCTTGCTTCCAAGGAGCATTCCGACTGCACTTCCTCCAGGACGGATTTGTTAGTTCTTTTAGGAGTCCATGGTACTTTTAACATTCTTCGCTAACACCACAACTTGAAAGCATCGACTCTTCTTCGGTCTTCCTTATTCATTGTCCAACTCTCACATGCATATGAGGCAACTGAAAATACCATGGCTTGGGTCAGGTGTACCTTAGTCCTCAAGGAGACATCTTTGGTCTTCAGCACTTGAAAGAGGTCCTTTGCAGCTGATTTGACCAGTGCTTTATGTTGTTTGATGTCCTGACTGCTGCTTCCATTGGCGTTGACTGTAAAACCAAGCAATGTGAAGTTTTTGACAACTTCAATCTATTTATTAGCTGATTTTTTATTACCAGTTTTATTGCTATTAAGTGCCTACCCTTGGAGATTGCAATGTCCTGGGGTAAAGGGGAAGACCTTATTTTCTTTACCTCTCCTTAATGACTGGTAAGGAGCTCTGATAGCATAGTGGCTAAGGCACTTGACTGGTAACCAGAGGCTAGCGGTTCAAATCCACTAGCCACTCCTAGGAAGGAAGGTTGGGCAATCTATTTCCGTAGTGATACTGCTTCAGCAACCCCAGGAGGGGTCACTATGAGTCGGGTCCGACTCGATAGCATATAACAACACCACAACAATGACTGGTAGTAGCTGACTGAACAAAAAGTATGAGCTTCCCCTGTGCTTGTTGAATTGAATTCCCATGCTCACTCCAAACTAATCCTCCATTACTGTCCAAATAACTCTGGGAACTCCAACACCTGCAGGAAGTGGCCTCAGATAGCCCCTACAAGAGCCAAGAACACATATAAGCTACTCTTCTAAATCACAGTGCTGGGCATTACCTATCTTTCTTCTTCCCCCACCACCAAAAAAAGGGTCCTCCTTGACCTGAGGGAGCTTCCATCATGTCTGTGAGCTCTGATGTTGTTAGGTGCTGTCAAGTAGGTTACTACTCATAAGGACCGTATGTACAACAGAACGGAACACTGCCCAGTCATATGCCATCCTCATAATCCTTGCTATGCTTGAGCTCATTGTTGCAGCCACTGTGTCAATCCATTTCTCTGAGGGTCTTCCCCTTTTTTGCTGACCCTCTACTTCACCAAGCATGATATCCTCCAGGGACTGGTCCCTCCTGATTATATGACCAAAGTATGAGAAATGAAATCTGGCCATTCTTGCTTCTAAGGAGTATTCTGACTGTATTCTCACAACATGGCAGCCGGCTTCCCCTGGAGTTAGTGGTCCAAGAGAACAAGTAGAAGTCACAATGTCTTTTACAACCCTAATATAGGAGGTCATTCTCCATCATTTCTGCAACAGGTCAGCCTTATTCAGTGTGGGAAGTACTACACAAGAATGTGAATACCAGGAGGGAAAGAATCATTGGGGGCCATCTTGGAGACTGGCTACAGTTTGCCCTCTAGCCTCCAGTAATTCATATCCTCATCTCATCCTACTCTCTAGGAGCCAGGTGACAGACCCTCTGAGTTTCCATTGTGTTTTCCTAAGCTAACGTAGAGCATCAATGGGGAATAAAAATTAAGGTATAATCACAAAAGTATGAGGCTACAGAGGTTCACAAACCAAGCTCTTTCTCCTTTCATTGAGCTCCATAGGTATCAGGGAATATGAGGGGTGTAGATCAGGCCCCTTTCAAGCACACCACCTTTTTTCCCAAGGTGCATGTATGAGGGGAATTTATAAAAACCTTGCCTGCTGTCTTTCCCAAAGGACAAAGAACTTAAGCCCCTAGACACTCTTCCAATGGCTGACCTCTGATCCAGGGTCCACAGAAGAGACGGAGAAAATGTGTGTCATATGTGCTAGCATGTGGCATCTTGGTGTCCTCGCCACAGCTTACAGACAAGATGAGAGCATTGCCTGCTTTTACAAGTAAGTCTCAACTTGTCTCAGAAGAACAGGAAAAGAAAATTCAAGAGGAAATATGATCCATCTAGATGCAACGATGGGTCTCTCTTCGTCCAGAGCAAAGAAGAATGAAGAAAACCAAAGATTCATGGAAATAATTAGTCCTCACAACTGGTATACCATGCAATCCTCAGCCTATACAACTACGAGACCAGAAGAACTAGATGGTGCCTGGCTACCACTGTCAACCACTCAGAAAGGGATCTATATAGGAAATCCTGGATAGAGAGGGAGAACAATGTGGAACAAAACTCAAAATCATTTGGAAAAAAAAGACAAGGTTTGCTGGTCTGATGGAACCTGGTGGAACCACTGAGACTATGGTCCCTACCTGCCCCTCAGGTCTAGAATTGAACCCACACCTGTGGCTTCCAGCCAAACAAAAGACAGGCAGAAAGGCTGTTTATGCACAGGGAGACTGTTCAGGGGACAGGAGTGTGTGGATGGATGGACAGAGGGAAGAGGTAATTATCAGGAGGAAGTAGGAGGGGAGCAGTTGCATTGGGGTAAATTGTAGTCAGTGTCATGAGACAACGTGTGTGAACTGTATGGAAAGTAAATTTGCTCTGTAAACTTTCACCCAAATCACAATAATTAAAATATATATATATGAATTTAGGTATCAGGGAATATGAGTCAGAGTTGCCTAGGACTGGAAGATAGTCTTCCTTCCCAAATATTGAAAAAGTTGAATATAATCTCTTTATTTTCAAGTTCCAGGCCTATCTTTGATAAATATCCCTGATTTTGGGTACTGTTAATTTCTAGATAAACACTAATGTGTTCCCTTTAATAGTTATTACTTAGAAAAACAATCTGTGCCCAAGTAAGTTTAGGAAATAGATAAAATTAAGTGCAGTTTATCAAAGCTTTCGATATGTTTGAAGGGCATGATGACTCACCAAGAGGAGGCTGGAGTATGTACCTGTTTTCCAAATGTATTTGACCATGGTGCCCTTTTTTCACTGAACTTTTTACTCAGAACACACTTTGAGAATTTCATCTCTGAGTGGAAAAACTGCATGCAACTCTGTTATAGGCAGTAAAGACCTGGTTCTGTACATTTCGAAAGCCTGATGACTAGTATCATTATTTTCACTCCCAAATAAACCTATTTGTAGAAGCATCTGTTTCCTGAAAACAAGTTTGTCCTCATTTCTCTAAACAGCTCCACGCTCCTTAGTTCATTAATGGTACTGTTATTTCTGTTTCCCTGAGTAACTTGATTCGTCTCTTTCCTTGAGCCTCACACTGTTTAATAGAAATACAATGCAAACCCCATGTGTCATTTTAAATTTTCTAGTAGCCACATTTAAAAAAAAAAAGAATGGTGAAATAAATAATGTATTTTATTTAACCCCATGTACTCAATAACATTTCAAGTGCTCAGTAGCCACATGTGTCTAGTTCTATTGAACAAAGATGCTCTCTCTGATCAGGAATTGATTTTAATTGCCTCCTGCCTCCACTTTCTCTACTCTGCAGGCCAACTGCTGTAGGTTCTATTCATTTCTCGCTATTTACAAGTTTTTGATGACTTCTTTGCCTACAGAATAAAGCCCAAACAATTTAACATCCTTGGAACCCCACCATTTAGCATCTTCCCACTTTTCTTCATTACTTCCCATTTGCTTTCATATCATGTTCCAGCAAAACAAATCTTGAAATATGGCTTGCTCTTAACCCAATTCTGATCCTTGGCTCGCTCTTTTCTTGCCTCTATATGAAATTCCTTTACTCCACATTTCTACTTGTCCAAAATATAACCCAACTTCCATGATTTAACCCAAATGATGATGTTAGGTGCCATCAAGGCAATTCCAACTCATAATGACCCCAAGTGACAGTGGAACTGTCCCATAGGGTTTTCTTGGCAGTAATCTTTATGCAATCGGATCACCAATTCTTTCTCCCTCGGCCACTGGGTAGGTTCAAACCGCTAACCTTTCAGTTAGCAACTGAGCTCTTTTGTGTGTGTGTGTGTGTGTGTGTGATTTGGGTGACAGTTTACAGAGCAAATTCACTTTCCATACAGTGGTTCACACACACGTTATCTCATGACATTGACAGTTTACCCCAGTGCAACACCTCTCCTCCCACTTCCTCCCTATACTACCTCTTCCCTGTGTCCATCCCTCCGTGCACTTCTGCCCTCTGAACTGTCTCCCTGTGCATAAAAAGCCCTTCTTTCTCCCATGATCTCTCCAAGGAATGTATCTACCTCAGGTACATGTTCAACTCTTATGCCTGTGTTTTATTTGGCTGGA